TGCGTAGAGATGGACAGTGGTAAAATACCCAAAGGGTAAATACCCGGTAAATTGAGTAAATACCCGGTAAATTGGGTAAATGCTCATTTGTGGGTATTTATTTGGGTATTTACTTTATCAAGTGGTTTGCCACTTAATGGGTTTATACCCAATTTTTGGGTACATACTGAAAATAAGGATATCTTTGTATTCGGGCTACCAGTAAACGTGGACCTACATACATAAATTTTTGCATGGACATTTGGTACCCAAAGAGGACACTCTGTGCCAATATGGTTGTAAAATGTGTCTAATGTAAACAAATATCTTAAATCGGTAGATACGGTCATATGGGGGCTATATCAAAACTTGGACCCAGGAACTCCATTTTGGATTTCTATATTTGCTTAAAAACATGTAAGCAAAATTTTGGCCGCCGATGTCAAGTGGTTCGGCAGTTAATGAGTTTAAACCCAATATTTGGGTAAATACTCGGGTATTTTCGAAAGTATTTACCCACGTTTTTAAACGTCTTCATCATTCCTCCTTGCTGAACTGTCACGAGGTAGACACATAATTATACCCTTCACCACACTGTGGTACAGGGTATTATGTCTTTGTTCATATGTTTGTAACAGGCAAAAGGAAACGATATAGACACATTGTTCCTTTTGAGAATATGCATAGAATCACTTTCTGAGTCGATTTATGCATGTCCGTCCGTCCGTCTGTCGATGTTAAATTGTAAACAAAGTACAGGTCGCAGTTATTATCCGATTTGGATGAAATTTGGCAGAGCTCACTTATTTGGCCCAAGGACGAAAAATCGGTTCAGATTTAGATATAGCTCCAATATATATTTTCGTCCGATTTAAGGAAATGGGGCACCAAAGTCTCTATATACGTGTCAATTTACACGAAATTTTGCATAGCGTACTGAAGTAGTTCCAGAATAATGTGTGCCAATTTTTGAGAAAATCGGTTCAGATTTAGATATAGCTCCCATATATAGTTTCGTCCGATTTAAAGTAAATGGCGCACCAATTTGGCATAGAGTACTGAATTAGGTCCAGAATGATGTATGCTAAGTTTCATGAAAATCGGTCCCATATATATTTTCGTCCGATTTAATGAAAATCGTCCACCAAATACCCTATATATCTTTCGATTTGCACGAAATTTGGCACAGCATAATGAATTAGGTCTACAATGATTGAGATTAAGATTTAGATATAGCTCCTATATATATTTTCGTCCGATTAAAGGTAAATGGTCCACCAAATACCCTATATATCTTTCGATTTGTACGAAATTTGGTACAGTGTACTGAATTGGGTCTAGAATGATGTGTGTTAAGTTTAGTGAAAATCGGTTCAGATTTAGATATAGCTCCCATATATATTGTCGTCCGATTTCATGTAACTGGTGTACCAAAGTCCCTATATATCTTTCGATTTGCACGAAATTTGGTATATCGTAATGAATTAGGTCTAAAATGGTGTGTGTTAAGTTTCCTGAAAATTGGTCCAGATTTAGATATAGCTCCCATATATAAATTCGTCCGATTGTATGTAAATGGTGTACCAAAGTCCCTATATATCGTTCGATTTGCACGAAATTTGGTATAGCGTAATGAATTAGGTCTAGAATGAAGTGTGTTAGGTATCGGAAAAATTGGTTCAGATTTAGATATAGCTCCTATATATTTTTTCTTCCGTGTGTATGTAAATTGTGCACTAAAGACCCAAAGTTTGCTGATTGCCGCACAATTTGGTACAATGAACTGTAGTTTATATAAGTTAATCTCTGACAAGTCTCATTGAAATCGATTCAACTCTATATCTGACCAAATGCCAAATTTAGTATAGGTTGCAGAATGACATGTTTATGGATCCATTTTCGTGTTTATGGTCTTTCACGTCTGTTAGGATTCATCTGCTGAATATACCCAAAGTGGTGAAGGGTATCATCATATAGTCGGCCCCGACCGACTTTACTATTTTCCTTACTGGTTTATATTAAAATAGTTATCTGATTTGTTAAGTGTGTTCGGATTATCCCCATATATACGTTTCCTACCATAGTGTAGGAGGTATTCGTTCAGTGTTTACCCTACAAAGTATGGAATTCTAACGCGATTTAGCCATATGTTGCAATCATTCCGCCTTCTAAGAATATCGTGATAAGGACATCCGAAGCTGAAGATAATGAAATAGATCGGCAGCATTCAAGCATCTCCTGAAGGATAGTATTGAGATACAATACTAAAATACTGGGTTCGAAATGATATTATTCAGTAAATAATTATACATAGCCCTCATATAATGGTAACCCTAAAAATTCGCTAATTCCTACACTATGTAATCAATATTGGTCCCCCTTTACGCATATCCTCATATCGCTTTGAACTCTAAATTGCAGTAGTTTGAGATTTTTATACACATGTTTCACTCTACCATACGTTATCAATATCGCCCCAGGTTAGAGATGGGCAGTGGGTAAATACCCGGTAAATTGGGTAAATACCCATTTGTGGGTATTTATTTGGGTATTTACTATATTGAATCGGTAATACAACATCTTAAACCCTATTTCCGGGTTTTTGTTATCAAATCGATTTAAAATGGATAGTTTTACGATACTTTAACGACGTGGGTAAATACTTGGGTAAATACCCGAGTTTTTATCCAAAAATTGGGTATAAACTCATTAACTGCCGAACCACTAGACATAGGCGGCCAAAATTTTGCACAAATGTTTCTAATGACAAAGCAAATATAGAAATCCAACATGGGCTCCCTGGGTCCAAGTTTTGATATAGCCCCCATATAACCATATCTCCCAATTTAGGTATTTTTTGTCTATTAGACTCATTTTACCTCCAAATTGGCTGTAATTTGGCACATAGTGTTCTTTTTGAGTACCAAATGTCCATGCAAAATGTATGTAGGTCCACGTTTACTGGTAGCCCCATACAAAGGTACCCCTATTTTGAGTATTTACCCAAAAATTGCGTATAAACTCATTAAATGCCGAACCACTTGACATAGGCGGCCAAAATTTAGCTCAGATGGTTTTTATATTAATTCAAATACTGGTATGGGAAATGGGGTCTCTGGGTCCAAGTTCTGATATAGCCCTCATATAACCCTAGCTCCCTATTTTAGGTAATTTTTATCTATTAGCCAATTTGATTGGCTGGAATTTGGCTCAGAGAGTTCTCTATGATTACCAATTGTTTACGATGGTCCACGTTTTTTCGCCTATATAACGGTCCTGATTTTGGGTATTTATATATATTTATAAACTCTTTAACAGCTGAACTATTTGACGTGTGTTTTGAAGACCCCATTTCCCATACAGAAAATAATGTTGATTTTAAACCACTTGTGTCAAAAACCACGTTTTGCATGAATATTTTGTGCGAAAAGAAATCTCACTATGCCAAATTACAACCAATTTGATCGTAAAAGTACCTTAAATCGGTAGGTTAGGCTATATCATCGGTAGGTACGGTTGTATGGGGGCTATATCAAACCTTGGACCCAGGGACCCCATTTTGGATTTCTATATTTGCTTTGATATTAAAAACATGTATGCAAAATTTTGGCCGCTAATGTCAAGTGGTTCGGCATTTAATGAGTTTGGGTAAATACTCAAAATAGGGGTACCTTTGTATGGGGACTACCAGTAAACGTGGACCTACATACATAAAATTTTGCATGGACATTTTGTACTCAAAAAGAACACTCTGTGCCAAATTTGGTTGTAAAATGTGTCTAATAGGCAAAAAATACCTTAAATCGGGAGGTACGGTTATATAGGGGCTATATCATTACTTGGACCAGGGACCCCATTTTGAATTTCTATATTTGCTTTGACATTAAAAAGATGTATGCAAAATTTTGGACGCCTATGTCAAGTGGTTCGGCATTTAATGAGTTTGGGTAAATACTCAAAATAGGGGTACTTTGTATGGGGACTACCAGTAAACGTCGACCTACATACATAAAATTTTGCATGGACATTTTGTACTCAAAAAGAACACTCTGTGCCAAATTACAGCCAATTTGGTTGTAAAATGTGTCTAATAGACAAAAAATACCTTAAATCGGGAGATATGGTTATATGGGGGCTATATCAAAACTTGAACCCAGGGACCCCATGTTGGATTTCTATATTTGCTTTGACATTAGAAACCTGTGTGCAGAATTTAGGCCGCCTATGTCAAGTGGTTCGGCAGTTAATGAGTTTATATCCAATTTTTGGGTAAAAACTCGGGTATTTACACAAGTTTTTACCCACGTCTTTAAAGTATCGTAAAACTATCCATTCTAAATCGATTTGATAACAGAAACCCGGAAAGAGGGTGTAAGATGTTGTATTACCAATTCAATATAGTAAATACCCAAATAAATACCCGCAAATGGGTATTTACCCACCCCTTGGGTATTTACCCGGTAAATACCCGGTAAATACCATCTCTACCCCAGGTGTTGGGGTTTTCAGATTTTATGAAAAAAAACCGATTAAAAATCGTTGAAATTTGTATTTAGTGTACATAAGGGTTAACATAAATCGGTTTGAAGAATTATCGGTATAGGTCCACTTGTTTGTATGTTCCCTATATTTTCATTTCAAGTACCTTTCAGTATACATATAGTGGAAGGTATCCAAAGTTCGGCCCGGCCGAACTTAACACTTTTTCGCTTATTATTACTGATTTTATTTATAAATCCTTCTACCTGTCACACGTGTATAACATTTCTTCTATGGAACTTCCTACATAATCACTTGCTTTGCATAGTATTAACCCGTAACGAATTTTCAATCTTATTTCCGCAAAAATACCATTTTATCCTTGAAAGGTAATTCATTTCGATACAAAAACCAATCACACTGATTGGCTGCTCAATCGTATTAGCTTGCTAGTGTGTCTCAATAAATATTTTTAATTGAAAATATTTCTCGCTAATAATATTTTGTTTCTTTTTTTTTCTTTCGTTCTTTCAACTTTTCAGAATTATGACACAAATGAAAAATGATAATATTGCTGCTTTTATTGGACCAGATGAAAGTTGCACTACCGAGGCGTTGTTGGCGGCGGCTTGGAATATTCCAATGATATCCTTCGTAAGTATTTTGTTATTGCTTGTTTTTGTCGAAGCTAATAAATCCAACTTTGATAACCAGTTAAATGGTTTAAGTGGCGGAACAAACAAAAAAATAAATAAAATGAGAAAAATAAATATTTCGAAATACACGTGCCACTTCGATGGCATAGAAAAATAAATAAACTCTCTTGGATGAAAGTAGAAAAAAACGTATTTCATCTTTCAAACAATAACTCAAATAAGTCGTTAAGTCGTTGTGTTGGTTTTTATGACAAAACCGATAGAAAACAATTGTTTCTTGTTTTATTATTGAATTACTTTCATATCTAGTCTGTGGGGAAGGGGGGATGTTAAGTTTGGGGAAAGGAAAATGCAAAATCGACTTTCAAATTTATATTTGGTATGGGAATATTTAGATAGGATTTGTAGACTTAGGCATAATTCAATATTATTTTGGTTGAAATACTTGTATAATGGAGTCATTCAAGTCAATTAGAACTGAAATGGCTTTTTCTCATAGATTTTTTATATTTTGGAAATTGTAAATACACAACACTTTGAAACAAATAACGGCTTTACATTTTCTCCATGATGATTCCACTGCATTGCTCCTTCATAATATGAATACTAAGAATTTGTCCTTTTGTGAAAATATAATTAAGTAGCAAATTAATTTATAATCTTAAATGAATCGAAATAGAAAATTTTCATTCTTAACTACCATCAAAGTCCGCATAATTTCCTGTGTAAAAATGAAAACTCTTTTGAAAAGTCGAATGTGAGTTGCTTTGTGGCTATACATTAGGTTGGATCGCTAAGATGTTGAGAATAACAAATAACAAGTGAAAAAACGTTAAGTTCTGTCGGGCCGAACTTTGGATACCCTCTACAATAGGTATACTGGCAGTTACTATATGTAACCAGTAATGAATGTTGTACAGTCGGACTGGGCCGACTATATGATACCCTTCGCCACTTTGGGTATATTCTACATATGTATACTAAAAGACGTCACCTTTTCGAAGGAACATTGACATGAACTTGAACGAACATAAATATGCGATCTTTATCTATAAGTAAACCGACTAATATCAATTCCAACACCTGCCATTCTGCAACCTATTCTAAATTTTGTAAATAGATTTAAAGGAAACTTTACACACGCTATTTGGTATGCTTCACTCTATTAAAATGTAATATCAACATAAATACGTCGAAATTATATATGGAAGTTATGCTATATCTAAATCTGAACAGATTTCAAGGAAACTTGCCAAAGATAAATTTATATTAATTTCAGTACGTTGTGTCAATTGGCCTAGCTATGGGTCTTTAGTGCACCATTTACTCGGACGAAAGTATATAGAGGAGCTATATGTAAATCTGAACCAATTTCAAGATTTTTCACGAAACCTTTCGGGACCTAATTCAGTACTCTATGCAAAAGAGACGAAAGATATATAGAGACTTTTGAGTAAATGGGGTTCCTTAAATCGGACGAAAATATATATGAGAGCTCTATATAAATCTAATCTGATTTTCTCGAAACTTGACATAAAATCCGACAAAAATATATATGTGAGATATATCTAAATCTGAACCGATTTTTTTGAAACTTAACACACGTCATTCTAGACTAAATTAAGTACGCAATGAGAAATTTCGTTCCAATAGAAAGATATATTGGGTCTTTGGTGCACCATTTATATCAAATCGCACGAAAATATATATGGCAGCTATATCTAAACCTGAACCGATTTTTACGAAATTCAGCACACATCATTCTAGACTTAATTGTGTACACGATGCCGATTTTCGTGTAAATCGAAAGATATATAGGGACTTTGATTCCCCATTTACCTTAAATCTATCGAATATATATATGGGAGCTATATCTAAATCTGAACCGATTTTCAAGAAACTTAGCACACATCATTCTGGACTTAATTCGGAACTTAATACTATTCTGGACTTATTTCTATGCCAAATTTCATCCAACTAAAATCTGAACCGATTTTCACCAATTTCAATATGGTTCATCCCTGTGCCAAATAAGTGACATGTGCCAAATTTCATCCAAATCGGATAATAAATGCGACCAGTACTTGGTTTACAATTTAACACTAAAAGACAGACGGATTGACATGCATAAATCGACTCAGAAAGTGATTCTATGCATATTCTCAAAAGGAACCATGGGTCTATATCGATTCCTTTTGCCTGTTACAAACATATGCACAAAGACATTATACCCTGTACCACAGAGTTGTGAGGATATAAAAAATATAGGGAGCATATCAAAAAGTAGAGCTCTGAAATTTTGCACATACATTGCTAGTACTCCTAGGATGTTTGGGTTATCATTGCATAGCACATTTCCGGACTAAAAATATTTTATATATTGGTTCTAATTTCTTATTTGGGGTTTAATAACGGCAGTCGGTATTTTCAGAATTTTGGACACGTTTTTCAACCGATTTATTTATTCTCAGTGGCTGTTAAATCCCACTACCAAAAAATCTCAATATTATTTGTAGCCCCATGTAACGGTAAACTCACTATTAGATATTTAGAGAATTTCAATATTTTTTCTCACAGTCCGGGACGAACTTAACATCGCTTTTTCTATAAATTTATTTTTTTTTTTTTTTATTTTTTCCGGAAAAAAAACATTTTTGTTTCCCACAAAAAGCATTACAAATATACCTTTTTTGCATACGCCTAACGTTGTCCGCTGATACGCACTCCACACTTCGGAACAACTGTTCACTGAACGAAATTCCGCCTCTGAACTTTACCAACGTGAAGAGGCGGAAGTCACGCGGGATTCAATCTTGAGGACCACGACCTGAAAGCTCTCAATGATTTTGCTGTCAAAGTGAATGCTCCACTTATCCATAGCGTACTTAACATGTATTCCTTCAATTGAGCAGCATCCTTGTAGATAAACTTGTTGATTCTCAACTGCGATTGAATTTATATGTCAATGTCTTCAGCGGAAATCAGATGGGTGGAACATCGTTGCCGCTTTATTGGATGACAGTTTTTACCTTACAAGGGGTCTTGTAATGTGTATTGACTTATACTAATTTTGATGCTACAATATTATCCTCCTAAAATTTATCTGTACTACTGTCGGGCGAGTTCGTTATACTTTCGGAATATACAGGAATACCTGAGCTGTTATGTATCGCGGTAAATCAGGTAGACACCTGGTTCCTTTTGAGAATATGCATAAAATCACTTTCTGAGTCGATTTATGCAAGTCCGTCCGTCTGTAGATGTTAAATTGTAAACAAAGTACAGTTCGCACTTATGATCCGATTTGGATGAAATTTGGCACAAGTCACTTATTTGGCCCATGGACGAACCCTATTGAAATTAGGAAAATCAGTTCAGATTTAGATATAGCTCCCATACATATTTTCGTCCGATTTAAGGTAAATGGGGCACCAAAGCCCCTCTATATCTTTAGATTTGCACGAAATTTGGCACAGAGTACTGAATTAGGTCCAGAATGATGTGTGGCAAGTTTCGAGAAAATCGGGTCAGATTTATATATAGCTCCCATATATAGTTTCGTCCGATTTAAGATAAATGGTGCACCAAGGTCCCTATGTATCATTAAATTTACACGAAAATTGGCATAGAAAACTGAATAAGGTCCAGAATTATGTGTGCTAAGTTTCGGGAAAATCGGTTCCGATAAAGTATAGCTCTTATATATAGTTTTGTCCGATTTTATGTATAAACCTTTCGATTTGCTTGAAATTTAGCACAGCGTACTGAATTTAGTATAGAATTATGTGTGCAAAGTTTTGAGAAAATCTGGTCAGATTTATATATAGCTCCCATATATATTTTTGTCCGATTTAAGGTAAATGGGTCTCCAAAGTTATAGTCATAGTTTTGCCCGATGTTATGTAAATGGTGCACCAAAGTCTCTATATATCTTTCGATGGCCCAAGGACGACCCCTATTGGGAAAAATCGGATCAGATTTAGATATAGCTCCCATATATATTTTCGTCCGATTTAAGGTAAATGGTGCACCAAAATTGCTAAATATCTTTCGATATGCACGAAATTTGGCACAGCGTAATGAATAAGGTCTAGAATGATGTGTGCAAAGTTTCGTGAAAATTGGTTTATAAGTAGATATATAGCTCCCATATATATCTTCGTCCGATTTAATATTTGCATCCGATTTTAGGTAATTGGTGCCCGAAAGTCTATGAAAATCTTTCGAATTGCGCGAAATTTGTCATAGCGTACTGAATTATGGCTAGAATGACGTGTGCTAAGTTTCGTGAAAATTGGTTCATAAGTAGATATACCTCCCATATATATTATCGTCCGATTTTATGTAATTGGTGCACCAAAGTCCTTATATATCTTTCGATTTGCACGAATTTCGGTATAGGGCACTGAATTAAGTCTATAATGATGTTGCTTAGCTTCGTGAAAGATCCATAGCTAGATCGATTGACACAACGTACTGATGTAAGTTTCGCTGAAATAGGCTCATATGTAGATATATAACAAAAACGCGTCGTCTGTTCCGATACATATGTAGAATATACCCAGAGTTGTGGTTTTTTTTTCTGAAAATGCAGGCGGAGGGGAGAACAATTTCCGATACTGCAAATTTAGCCTGCATAAAAAAATGCAGCAAAAACATTAATAAGAAGATGCAAACAAAATTCTGCAACATTGAAGGAAAATAAGCGTGGAGGAAATAGAACTAAGTATTTGAAGCCACAAGTTTTAAGTCTGATCGAGTTATATATAGGAAGTCAACCTGGAATTACCCTCAAAGCCATAAAAACTAAACTGTTGAGAGAAAATGATGTAAATATTTGTGGAATAGAAAATGGATTACGGAAATTAAAAGTTACGTTGAAGATGGCCTTCATTGAAATAGAACGAATGAATGACTCCAGAACATTAGGCTTGAGACAAAAATATGCTCAAGACTGTACCAAATGGATACCCCAACAACGAGAAAAATTAATATTCA